AGAAAGACATACCCATCAGAAAGACATATGAGACATACCTATCAGAAAGACATACCGATGAGACATACCCATCAGAAAGACATATGAGACATACCTATCAGAAAGACATACCGATGAGACATGCCCATCAGAAAGACATACCGATCAGACGTATCAATCAGACATACCCATCAGAAAGACATACCCATGAGACATGCCTATCAGAAAGACATACCAATGAGACATACCCATCAGAAAGACATACCGATCAGACGTATCAATCAGACATACCCATCAGAAAGACATACCCATGAGACATGCCGATCAGAAAGACATACCCATGAGACATGCCCATCAGAAAGACATAACTATCAGACACATCCATCAGACATACCTATCAGACAGACATACCCATCAGAAAGACATAACAATCAGAAAGACATACCTATCAGACATGCCCATCAGAAAGACATACCGATCAGACATATCAATCAGACATACCCATCAGAAAGACATACCTATCAGACATACCCATCAGAAAGACATACCAATGAGACATGCCCATCAGAAAGACATACTGATCAAACATATCAATCAGACATGCCCATCAGAAAGACATACCTATCAGAAAGACATACCCATGAGACATGCACATCAGAAAGACATACCCATCAGACATACCCATCAGAAAGACATACCGATCAGACATGCCCATCAGAAAGACATACCGATCAGGCATACCCATCAGAAAGACATACCTATCAGAAAGACATACCCATGAGACATGCACATCAGAAAGACATACCCATCAGAAAGACATTCCTATCAGGCAGACATACCCATCAGAAAGACATACCCATCAGACAGACATACCTATCAGACATACCTATCAGAAAGACATACCGATCGTCCAATCTGTGAAGAAGGCATGCAGGTGATATTTGTATAGATTTATCTACACCCTTCTGGCAGTGCTGCCATTGCAGTCAGGTCTCACAGACTACGAGGAGTAGAAGTTGTCCGACTTGGCTGCAGTCAGTTTATACTCCACCCCTGCAGCTGCGGACAGATCGCGCTCCACATTGCGTCAGCTGCAGTCGAACGCACCCATTGCTGCTTTAAGGGAAGATGGGCAATATTACAACGTCGTCGGTGATTGGCTGTTGTGCTGGCGTTCAGTA